CTGACGATGCTATATTCTTCCTAGAAGGGACTACTGGTGAGTGTCAGAACCTAGCAAATATCTTAAACCAATATTGTTGTGCATCGGGTCAAGCTATCAACCTGAACAAATCAGGTCTATTCTGTTGTGCGGGTAGCCCTCAAAGCCTTAAAAACAATCTTGCGGCCGAGCTAAGAGTACCAATTATGGAGAAAATAGGGAAATACCTTGGCATCCCATCCGATTGGGGACACACAAAAAAGTAGATGTTCGCGTGGATACTGGCCAGGGTAAACATGAAGTTGGAGGGTTGGAAGGAAAAGTTGCTATCAAAAGCGGGTAAAGAGATCTTAATCAAAACGGTGGTACAAGCAATCCCACAATATGCTATGTCTATCTTCTAAATCCCTATTTCCGTTTGTAAAGCTATAGAGCAGAAAATTGCATCATTTTGGTGGAAACAGAACTCATCCAAATCTGGTATACACCGGAAGAAGTGGGATACTCTCAAAGAAAGGAAAATAGATGGTGGTTTGGGCTTCAAGGACCTAGTTACCTTCAACAAAGCCATGCTTGGCAAGCAAGCTTGGAGACTTGCTCAAGAACCAACCGCACTATGGAGCTAGTTACTAAAAGGTATCTACTTCCCTAACGGATGTTTATGGGAAGCAAAAAAGGGGTCCCGTCCGTCGTGGGGGTGGCAAAGCTTGTTAATGGGTAGGGATACATTAAGCCCCGAGGTACAATGGGTGGTGGGGAATGGCGAGAGCATCCACATCAGAGAGGATAAGTGGCTGAATCAGAACCTTATAGGAGGTCCAGCAAATCGAGAAGACCCTCAAACAGTAGCAACATTAATCGATCAAAGGACACGAACTTGGGATGTAAACCAACTGCGAACGTTGTTCCAGGAAGAGGCTGTAAATGAAATTCTTGCCACACGTATCCTACCAAATCCAGAACGTGACAAGCAAATTTGGAATGGCAGTTTATCAGGGGAATACACGGTCAGGCTAGGTTACTCAAGTCTTCGTGCATCCCATACTAAGCAACAAACAAAACAAGCCTCAACATCGTTTCAGCAGCCCCGCTCTCTATGGTCCAAGATATGGAAAATTCACATCGAACCAAAAATTCGCTTCTTCCTGTGGGGTGTGTGCCGAAATGCCCTACCCACTTCAGAGAATTTATACAAAAGAAATGCAATTACTGAACCGCTTTGCCCAATCTGCCGGCAAATTCCAGAGTCCGTGGAGCACATCTTCTTAATCTGCGACTGAACAAAGCATATCTGGACTGATCAAAGAGTACAGATTGATGTTTCACCAACAAACATAACAAGAATGGACAAATGGTTAGATGAAGCACTCACCGGCGGCAATCCGACCCACCGAGCTATGATCGCAGGAATTTTATGGCAGATCTGGAAAGCCAGAAACACCCATGTGTTCCAAAGAATCAACCCCAAACCGGGGGCAATTGTCGACGAAGCCATCAATATGAGCAGACTCTACCTCACGCAGAACTCTCCCGATCACAATATCTGGTCGGAGAAGCTTTCGACAGAACACTGGACTCAACCAGAAACAGGGCATTGGAAATTCAACGTGAATGGCTCGTGGATTGAAGGCGGAACAGAGGGATCGGTGGGTGGCGTTTGTAGAGATTATAGGGGTTTGATAATTACTGGGTTTGCAAAAGGGGTTGCTGCTTGTTCTCCTCTGGAAGTCAAAGGCTTAGCGGTGAGAGAAGCTATACGCTGTCTGCGTCAAGAGACAGAGAAGGGAAGAAGTCCAACTTTGAAAGTGACTATCATGACAGACAACATGGCTTCTGTTAGATACACAGAGCATCCGTCCCTTAGCCCATGGGCTTTGAGAAAACTTTTTGAGGAATGCAACCTTCTTTTGTCCCATTCGCAAGGTATTTCTCTGGCACACTGTCCACGAGATACAAATCTAGTCGCAGATTGGATTGCTAAGACCCATCGCAAAGGGTTACTCCCCTCTAACTGGCTATACAAACCCCCCCAACCCCTTTGGGCTTTAATCTGTAATGACGTTAGTCATGATCACTCGTGTAATCCGTCTTTGAATGAATGAAATGGTATTTGCATTTGACAAAAAAAAAAAAGATGTTGAATTTCATGGTCTCTGTTCTAAAGCTCTTAATGTGCGTAACATTGTCCAATCCGAATCTAGAAGATTTCATAATGGTTATCAAAGAAAATAAAATTGGGTGGAAAGAGATGGAAATATAATTAAGTGACTTGCCATATTATATAGAGATTGATTCGATATTCATTGTCATGTATATATATATTATCTAATATGGAGTATTATGAGATTCGCGAACGTCGAGATATGAAAACTTTTGAAGGGGAGATTGTGTTGGGGTCTCCATATGCATAAGAGATACTTGTCAGCTTGAATATGATGCATTACTTGGTTCCTTCTTTAATTTAGTTATTTGACATTTTCTAGGATTTAGAATTGGGTAGCGTATTTCCACTCCTTATGACTAAATTCACCCAATTTTCATGAAAAAGACAAAATCTCCCTAATCAATCAATTGCATTTAAAGCGGTGGCTGTTTTCTATTTCCATGTAGAATCTAGTTGCCATAATTAAAGATTTAACATGTTTTATTTTTGTTTATTGTGGGCACTATGATTTCTTTTTTAATGTTGGATTTTACTTCTGTAGAAATTAGTTTTGGCCAATTTTTTTTTCAAGAAACCTAATTCAATTCTACGTTGGCGAGCAAATTTATGGATCAATTGTCAAGTAGAATGTAGAAATTTTTTGACATAGACGATTTTTTAGCACAATCACTTGTTTATAAACTTGCATATTTATTGCGCATATCATCATCAAACCTTTTTTTTTATCAGTTTTCTTTTATATGCATACACATATAATAAGAAAGACTCTCTTTAAAGATTTTTCAAAATATAATCACAATTACTTTTTTCAATCACTTTTTTTATAATCACATTTACTTTTAACATAATCACTTGTTTATGAACCTCCATTTTTATTGTGCATATCACCGTCCAACCTTTTTTAATCAGCTGTCAGTTATTTACATACACATATAATGGGATCATAGGATGAAAGACTCTCTTTAGAGATTTTCCAAAATATAATCACAATTACTTTTTCCAACGTAAAATTTTAAAAGGTAAAATTCAATTAAATCAATTGCATAAAATAATATATATTTTTTAAAATCATCATCTTGGAGTGACAAAAAGTAATATCATCCTAGATAAAATTAGCCCCATCAGTCGGTATTATTTAACTAGGTTAATGCACAAAAAGACACGTTTCTTCAAGATTGGATTGATAGCTTGTGTTTTTGAAATGTTATGTTCTTCATACTTGGAAGGACAGACATCTATTTTCACAACAACATATTTGATGAAAAGGATAATGATATAAATAGTCCCTGAAGTTTAGCCCAATGTGCAATTTGGTCTATGACCTTTTAATTTGTTCAATGTAGTCCGTGAACTTTAGCCTAATGTTCAATGTGGTCCCTGAACTTTTAATTTATTCAACGTGATCCCTGGACTTTTGGGACAAGTTCAATGTAGTCCTTGAATTGTATGAAAATGTTCAATGTAGCCCCTGAACTTGAATTAATGGAAGGACTACATTAAATATTTTCATATAATTTAGGGACTAAATTGAGTATGTACCAAAAGTTCAGGGATGACATTGAACAAATTAAAAATTCAGGGACCACATTACACATTGAATTAAAGTTGAGGGACTACATTGAACAAATTAAAAGTTTAGGGACCACATTGCATATTAGGCCAAATTTCAAGGACTGTTTGTGTCATTTTCCCTTAATTAAATGCTCCTTTTGGCATGTTTAGAAGTAACTTAGAATATTTTTTTAAAGATTAAATGTAGGCGACTCTCGTCAAAACGGTAAGTTTGAATGGACACATATTTTGCATTCTAATAGTAATTTAGATGGTGTTTGTTTTGTGAATAGTATCTTTATTAGGTGATTTGCATTTTCCTCTTCCTTTTTAAAACTAGATACATTGCACAACCACATTAATATCACCGGAATTACCTTCACTTCAGAATACGTCTCTCATCAGCAAAAGTCACATTTTCTTTATAAAGAAGAAGCAAATATCTCGAACCATTGAGGTCACAATACTCCTGATTTCAACTGAAAAATTTGCAGATCGCTTGCGAACATAGACGATATACATCGGTGATTATTAATTTCACCATGAAATCAGTAACCTTTTACGATGAAAAGTAATTTTCAACCTATTAAAATTAGTAACTTTACCGTGTTAATCATCACTTTTTATATATATGTGAAACTTTGAGCATAATAGTGACTAGTAATTTCTTGATGTAGTTAGTAATTTCTAATTTCAAAAGTTGCTTATCCATGCGATTAATAAAAAACATAAAAGGGACTTTGGATATATCAATAATAAGTTCAAAAAACCCGTGATTAACAACTTTCCTGAAATGATAGAACAAGATAATTAAAGTAGTAAGCTTCCGAAATAGCAGTGCTGGAGAATTTGAAACTTGCAAGTTGCACCCCTAAAGAAACCCAATAAACACAGAGCTGCATCATTGGAATTGAGGGAGACTGATGCTACTGAAGCATTCTTCGACAATCTTGCTATGCACAGCGACCACCGATACATTTCCTGGATTGCTGGATCCTAGGAGGCTGAATCCGAGAGCTACACATCCTAATTCATCCACCAGAGCAAACATATCTCCAGTAACAGAGAGCAATTCCAGACATCCAAGTATTTCGCGCAACAATTCAGCTACAGAGAGCCTTTCCTAGTCAAGCTGCAGAAACCAAGCTTTCCGTTGAATCAAATTTCCGGTAGCTGATTGATTGCAATTCGCACTAGAAACAATGAAGAAGAAGAAGAAGAAGAAGAAGAAGAAGAAGCAAGGCAATTTATTTTGGATTCATTTTAATGTACTATAGCACCAAAACATAGTTTTAATAAACTGACGTTACTCAAGAATGTGCCTGCACTTTGCAGGCCTTATGCTAGTTTAAACTATGTCCAAATATGGATGGTGAAAGACAACAACTATCATCTTTCAAGAAAGATCTTCAGTTATGTATTTTACCTGTACGTTTGCGTTTGCATAAACAAATACAGAATGTCTAGCGACGAGAGAAGGACAAGTGAATAAAATTTGTGCTATCACCTGTTGTTCATTTTTGTCCGTGTAAACCCTAGGCATAGAGTTTCTCCCTAATCTTTTGCAGCTGATTTGCAACTCCGCTGATGCTCAACCGTCTTCCAGGCACTTCATCGGAGCAAGAGACTCCAATATTATATACTGTGACCAAGCACTCTTGAAATATGCCATCGCTTTCGGAGAGCCAATGCTGAGGACTATTGGGGCTTAAATAATTCTCTCTTTCTTGAAGCAGAATGTGATCCGTAATTTCCAGCACTTGTTCAGGCAAAGCTTCTGCCACAAAACTATGAAGAGTCAAATTGTCTCTGAATATGTCATCGTTGGGACTCAACCCTGTGAACATCTCCAATAAGAGGATGCCGTAACTGTAGACACCGCCTTCTCTTGAAACCTTGCATCCCATTGCATATTCTACCGCAAATGTAGATCATAGTGCAGGTGAAATTTGGAATACGGTTCATTAAAGCAGAATTTAATGGGTGTAAGAGTTATCATGCAGCTACCAAACTCACAAAAAGACCCATCAACATTTTTTTACCTAAATAAACTTTCTTGGTTTGAAAGAGAGATTACCTGGTGGAGCATAACCAATTGTTCCTCTTATGCCCATTGAGCTCATTTGATTAGCCACGGTATCAGTGGATGATCCAAGGAGGAACTTTGCCAATCCAAAGTCACCAACATGCGCGACCATCTCGGTATCAAAGAGGATATTGCTGGGCTTTAAATCACAATGAACGATGGGAATGTGGCACTGGTGATGAATATAATCGAGTGTAGAAGCAACACCAATAGCAATATTTATCCTTCGAAAGAAATTCAATTTCTGGGTAGGCTCATTTGTGTAAGAGGGTGTTGGATTTGGATGTAGCCACCTTTTGAGGCTTCCATTTTCCATGTACTCATAAACTATGGCCTTAAAATCATTTTGCTGATAATCAATACCAGAGCAAACTGTTAATATTTTTAGAAGATTTCGATGTTTGATGTTCTTTAATACCTCGCACTCCGCCAAGAAGCTCTTCAAAGCACCACGATGCATTAAATGAAGCACCTTCACTGCAATGGCTATACCATTCTCTTCAAATATTCCCTTGTAAATAGAACCAAAGCTTCCAACACCGATCAAATTCATTGAAGAAAAACCATTGGTTGCTTTTAAAAGTGTTCGATAAGATATGTTGGGACATGAATCCTCCATGGAAGTTGAAATCGGTTCTTTTACTTTCTTCTTCAACCAACAAAAATACAGAAAAACAATAGTAAGAGCTACACCAAGAATGCCAAAAATAACACAAGCCGACAATACCGATATATGGATTTTACTTCTCTTGGAGCTTTTGGAGATGCACTTGGGGAGGTGATATGCTGGCAGTCCCCCACAAAGCTCATTGTTCCCAATAATAGAAGTCATGGTAGCATTCTTAAAAACTCCTTCACGCGGTAGCATGCCTTCAAAGCTATCGTAAGACAAATTCAAAAGTTTCAAGGAATGAAATAAAGCTAAGAATTTTGAAATCTGACCAGACAAATTGTTGCGTGAAAGATCTAGTTCTTCAATGCCTCCTAACGATCTGATTGATTGAGGAATAGATCTGTGGAAGAAGTTGTTGGAAATATGGGATAAATTGATAGGTGAATGAATGAGAAATTGATGCTAAAAAAAAACACCCTTGAGTTGGAAGTGGGATGTGGAAAAACACTAGTTCCACATCGGAAAAGAAAGAAGGCCATGGAGTGCTTTATATACGAGTTACACTTATTTGAAGTGGTAACTATCATAGCACAAACTCTTCGCCTCGCGCAGCAGGGGGTGCAAATCCGACGCCCGACAAGCTGAAACTTGGGCACGATTGCGGGACCGAAAAGTGGGCCTTGCGACGAGCCCAATTTTGCCTTCTGATTTATTTTTCCTTTCAACTCAAACAGTTACGAATTTCATAACGTACGGCGATTTAATCGTCCGTTATTCGTATTGATTTCGTAACGGCAGATTTAATCGTCCGTTATTCGTATTGATTTCGTAACGACAGATTTAATCGGCCGTTATTATTCCTGAATTGCTCTCCCCTCTGTTCCTTTTTATCGAAATCATTCTTCCTCTACGGTTTTACACTCTCTCGCATTTGCACTTTGTTTTTCGGTAGTGTTCGATTCCTAATTTGTTCAAGTTCGCGGAAGCTTTGAAGTCCGATTACTTCTTAGCGATCAACCGTTGTATCCGGGAGACAGGACGTTCATGAAACCTCGAACGCGTCCTCGAAGGGAACGAATGCATTTTAAGGAAACCGTGTCAAACACGGGCCTCGGTATTCATTTGTATCGATTCCAACTTTGTTATTGCAATTTCGTTTATTTGCGATTCTGTATTGTTTGTGATTTTTATACTAATGCCAATTTGAATTTTCGCAACAATCTTAAAACAGATTCGTGCTTTTAGAAATTCAAATGGCTACGGTTAAAGAAGTCGTGGATGTGGCTGCTGGAAACGATGGTGTCGATGTGGTTGCCGACAACATCGCCAAAAACTCTCCCTATGCCTCCTGTCCAACCGCTCGGCTCATCCTCTGTCCATCCCGCGGTTTCGTCCACCACGGTGAGAAACCCGAAAAGTTCGACGGATTGAACTTTAAAAGGTGGCAAAGAAGATGTTGTTTTATTTAACAACTTTGAATCTTGCGAGATTCTTGACTGAGGAAGCTCCTAAGATATCCGATGGAGAAACGAATAAGCAAGCCTTCAACGCCGTTGAAGCCCGGAAGCACTACGACTTCTGTGCGAAACTATGTCATGAATGGTTTACATGACTCATTGTACAATGTCTATTGTGAAAAAAAAACGGCAACGGAGTTATGGGAAGCTTTGGACCGGAAATATAAAACAGAGGATGCCGGAGCAAAGAAATTTGTTGTCGGTCGATTCCTTGATTATAAGATGGTGGATTTTAAGATCATGTGATCAGTCAAGTGCAAGAAATTCAAGTGATCTTGCATGAAATTCAGTGAAGGAATGATCTTGAGTGAAACCTTCCAAGTGGCCGCTATTATTGAAAAGCTACCTCTGGGTGGAAGGATTTCAAAACTATCTCAAGCACAAGCTAAAGGAAATGAACCCGGAAGAGCGATTGTTAGACTTCGAATCGAAGAAGACAATAGAGGATCCGAACGCAAAAGGTTCAATCCTAATACGCCTAAGGCAAATGTTGTGGAGCTTATACAAGGCCACAAGAACAAGAAGATTGCCAAGCCAAAGTCAGCCAAAAGGAGGAGTTTCAAGAACAAGTTCCAAGGAAAATGCTTCAATTGTGGTAAAATGGGGCATAGATCTATGGAATGCGAGACTTCCGAAGAAGAAGAATTATGAGACAAATATGGTGAATGGCATTACTCAAGACGTGTCAAACATAAACCTTTTCGCAATGGTTTCGAAATAAACTTAGTTGGGTCCAATCCGAAAGAATGGTGGATTGACACCGGTGCCACTAGGCACATATGCTCTAACAAGGACCTATTCACAAATCTTGAACCAATTAATGGGGAAAAGGTTTTATGGGAAACTCTGCCTCTTCTGCTTCGTCGAAGGCCAATGGAAAGTGTTGCCGAAGATGACCTCCGGAAAAGAGCGACTCTAAACAATGTCCCGTATGTGCCGTAAATTCGAAAGAACCTGGTTTCCGGGTCTCGTTGAACAAGCATGGATTTCGTATGGTGTTTGAGTTCGATAAAGTTATTTTGTCTAAACCGGAATGTATGTGGGGAAGGGATATGTAACTCGATGGGCTTTTTAAGCTCAATGTAATGACAATTATCAATAAAGATAATAAGTCTTCCGTTTATTTGCTTGAGTCTTCCAATTTATGGCATGGTAGACTAGGACACGTTAATTATGATACATTGCGTAGATTAATTAACTTGGAACATATACCTTCATTTCAAATTGATTCAAAACATAAATGTGAAATTTGTGTTGAGGCAAAATTAACGAGATCTTCATTTCAAACAATTGAAAGAAACACCGAACCCCTTGAATTAATTCATAGTGATGTTTGCGATTTGAAATTCATTCAAACGAGATGTGGTAATAAATATTTTATTACTTTTATCGATGATAACACCAAATACTGCTATGTGTATTTGGTTAAAAGCAAAGACGAAGCCTTAGAGAAATTTGTTCTCTATAAGAATGAAGTTGAAAATCAACTCAATAAGAAAATTAAAAGATTGAGAAGTGATAGAGGTGGCGAGTATGAAGTACCAATTGGTGAATTTTGTGTACAACACGAATTATACATGAAATAACCGCGCCTTACTCTCCTCAATCAAATGGTGTTGCTTGAACGTAAAATCGCACATTGAAAGAAATGATGAACGCGATATTACTAAATTCAGGTTTGCCTCAAAATATGTGGGAGAAGCTATATTGTCAAGCAATTACCTTTTAAATAAGGTACCTCGAAAGAAAAAGGATAAAACCCTTATGAGTTATGGAAAGGTAAGAGACCATCCTACAAACACTTGCGAGTGTGGGGGTGTCTTGCAAAAGTGGCGGTTCCAACACCAAAGAAGACAAAGATAGGTCCTAAAATAGTGGACTGTATCTTTATAGGCTATGCACATAACGGTAATGCATATCGATTTCTTGTGCATGAATCTAAAATTCCAGATATACACAAGAATACGATCATGGAATCTAGGAATGCATCATTCTTTGAAAATGTATTTCCTTGTAAATCCAATGATGGATCAAGTTCATCTAAACGAAAGAATGAAACTATGAATGAAGAAAGTCACGATTCGGCTCATGAAATTCATGACTCGATCATGAACTAGAACCGAGACGTAGAAAAGAGCAAGAGTGGAAAAATCTTTTGGAAATGATTTTCTAACTTATTTGTTAGAAAAGGAACCATTAAATTATAGTAAGCGTAAATTCTTCCTCGAGGGACCTCTTTGGAAAGAAGCAATAAAAAGTTTCGATTCTATTTTGCGAGAATCATACTTGGGAGCTAGTGAATCTTCCTCCTGGTTGTAAGCCTTTAAAGTCCAAATGGATTTTTAAAAGGAAAATGAAAGCAGATGGCTCCATTGATAAGTACAAAGCCAGACTTGTGATCAAAGGATACAAACAACGAGAAGGCTTAGATTACTTTGATACTTATTCTCCCGCGACGAGAATAACCTCCATTAGGATGATAATTGCAATTGCAAAGATTGCGAAATTTGGAAGTACATCAAATGGATGTAAAAACAGCTTTCCTAAATGGTGATTTGGATGAAGAAATCTACATGGAACAACCTTGAGGGTTTTATAGTTCTAGGACAAGAAAGAAAAGTCTCGTAAATTGGTGAAATCATTGTATGGCCTAAAACAAGCACCAAAACAAAGGGCATGAAAAGTTTGATAATGCAATGATTACCAATGGTTTTAAGATCAATGAATGTGATAAATATGTCTACATTAAAGAGACAACAAATGGCTATGTCATTTTATGTCTTTACGTAGATGACATATTAATTGTTGGTAGTGATGATAAAATGATCAAATCTACCAAGTGTATGTTGAATTCAAGATTTGACATGAAAGATATGGGACCCCTTCGATATGATTTTAGGAATTAAAATCACAAGAACATCGGAAGGTCTTATTTTAAACCATCACACTATGTGGACAAGATTCTTGAAAAATTCAACATGAATGATTCCGGTATTGCTAGAACACCATTAGACAATAGTCTTCATCTTTCCAAGAATAGAGGAGAGGGTATTTCTCAAGTAGAGTACTCTAGAGTTGTTGGAAGTCTAATGTACTTAATGAGTTATACTAGACCGGACATTGCCTATACGGTTGGTAAATTAAGTAGATACACAAGCAATCCAAGTGCCGACCATTGGAAAGCAATAGTGAGAGTATTCAGGTACTTACGATATACTGGAATTATGGCTTCGCATTATACCGATACCCAAATGTGCCGGAAGGATATAGTGATGCGAATTGGATATCGATATAAAGACTCAAAATCTACTAAAGTGGATATGTATTCACACTAGCGGAGGAGCAGTATCTTGGAAATCCCGTAAACAGCTGTTATAGCCGAGATCCACAATGGAATCTGAATTTATAGCATTAGATAAAAGTGGTGAAGAGGAATTTGAATGGCTACGCCATTTCTTAGAGGATATTCCAAAATGGCGTAAACCTGTGCCACCAACAAGTATACATTGTGATAGTCAATCTGCGATTGGAAAAGCACGGAAGTTTCCACCCATCCTCAGTGATGTCAATCCAGTGCAATCCCCTAAACTATTTGGGATTTCACCTACCAACATATTGTCAGAGATGTCTAACTCGGTCAAAGTTCTCAAGTTCGCTACTTCTGTGGGTAAAACCCCACTCAGATAGTTGTGCGACAAGTTCAAATTGATTGTTATTGATGAGAGACCTATGAGCTGTCGGGTTTTGGTACCGTTGAGATTATTATTAGAAAGATCTGGAGAGATTGACACTTTGATAGATGTGAAGGAATTTGCCCATGAAAGTTGTTCCAACCAAGACTTAGTCTGATCAACTTGGTTAGATTTCCTAAAGAAGTTGGGATCTTCCCTTCCAGGTTGTTATCGATTAACTGCAATCCCACTAGATTTTGTAAATTCCCAAAATTTGAGGGGACCTCGCCTGAAAACTTGTTGAGATACATATCTGACACTTCTAGGTTGACTAGATTTCCAATCTCTCCAGAAATCTCACCAGACATTAGGTTCTCGTTCACACCAAGTGACCTGAGAGTGCTCGAGAAATTACCTATGCATCGGGGTAATGCCCCACCGAGTCTGTTCCGATCAATTCTGAAGGACTTTAATGCAGTGGAGTTTGTCAATGGGCATACAAAGCTTAAGTCTTCAGAATTTCCACTTCCCAGATGGTTATAAAAGATGGAAAAATACCGAAGCTTAGGCATATTTCCGAAAGAAGGCACTTTCCCTGAAAGCTTGGTCTTTCCGAATTGAATAACCTCTAGCGTTGTCCAATTGGATACTGAGGGAGGAATCGGTCCCACAAATTGGTTCATGCCAATGCTAAAAAATTGAAGATTTGGGATCGTCAAGCCTAAGTCTGCAGGAAGACTACCTTGAATCTGGTTGCCTCCAACGTCAAACTGAATTAGAGAAGAGAGATTGAGCAACGAGGGCGGAATTGTACCGGACAATCTGTTTCCTCCGACAGCGATAGTATTTAAAGTCAGGCTGCCTAGAACTTTGGGAATGCTCTCGCCCAAGTTATTTTCTGCGAGTTCAAGAACCTGCAGCGAAGACAAGTTTCCAAAGGAGGAAGGCACATTCCCAGATAGTGCATTTTTTAAAAAAGACAAAACTCGTAGCTCCGACAATGAACCGAGTTCTGTTGGAATTACTCCAGTTAGTTGGCTGTTTGCAATGCAGATTGCAGAGGACTATGAGTTTTGAGCAAGCTGACATGTTTCTGGGAATTTCACCGGCCGGTGAATTGTTGTCTAGATGTAGGAAACGCAGGCGGCGCAACCTCCTGACTTGCGGAGGGATTTCTTGAACGAGACTATTATTTTGGAGATGAATTTCAGTCAAGAAGCTTAGGTTTCCGATATGAGGAAAGATGGACCCTGAGAGTGCTAGTGATTACAAGTTCACGACCGTGACCCTCTGGTGTCTCAGGCCGCATGTGACACCATACCAACGGCAAAATCCAATGGTGTCGTTCCATGAGTCAAGCACCCCGTAAGTGTCTTTGACTGCGGCCTTAAATGCGAGGAGTGCCAGTTTGTCAGTTTCATTTGTGCTGGAGGAGACTAGCACAAAACAAAACGCAAGCACAAGAGAGAGAAGGAAATGGCACGACTGTAACTGTGCAAAACTGAAGTGCACAAGCTCCATAGCTCGAGCAGAAGTGGGTAGATATGAAAGGAGTGACCCTAAAAGGAAACAAGAGATGTGGCGAGTGTTGATGCAAACTGTGAAGAGATCTGTAAGGAGGGTTGGAGTCTGATATAGAGCATTGCCTTTGTTAATTTATGTCTCGAGTTTGAACCATTTGCGGAACATGATCAAATTTGACCACACAAAAAAATTCAAGAAGGGGATCTTGTGTTACGGTTAAAACAAAGAAAAACTCTCGTACACTAAAAGACATAAAAAGGGCTTACATTCTTTATTTAATATATATTAGAAAGTTGTTGACTTGGTCTTCTTTGGGGCACAAGGATTTTTTATCGTGAAAAAGGATATATATTCTTTATGTTGGCCGGCCGCATAGTAACTCTCTTTTCAAAGCCGCACAGCAAAGTTCATTTATGGTGTGCTTGGCAACCATTCTGTTTTCGAAAATAATTTTTGTTTAGAAATGATTTTTTTTTATTCCGTATTCAGGAATAATTTTTAAGCATTTGAAGATATTTGGTAACTATCCAAAATTTCTATTCTTGAAATAGAAAAAGAATATAAATACGTTTGATAACTGTACAAATTTTTTTTTATTATTAATAATATTTTAAATTTTTTAAATTTATTTTTTTTTTTCTTCTTTCCCTTCTTTGGCCATGGCCGTGTCGCGCGCGGTAGGCCGCAGCCTAATCCCGAGGCCGGCGAGGGCGTTGCGGCCCTCACCGCCGAGCGAGGGCCGCCCTCGCCCTCGCCCTCGCTAGATCTGGCGAGGGTGGCTAGCAGCTTGGGTGAGGGCCGCCCTCGGCGGCCTACGCGAGGGTCGCCCTCGTCAGATCCAGCGATGAATGGTTTTTTTCCTGTCAAATTGTAAACGAAATTAAGACATCAATTTTGCATTCACACTACATGAAAATCCTAGATGTGGCTTATCAACTTGCTTTACCACTCGTCCTTGCAGGAGTACCCAACACTTTCCATGTATTCATGCTGCGAAAGTATACTCCCAACCCTAATAATGTTATTCATTATGGGACCCTACAATTCAAGAAAAACATGACTTAAAAGTAGCAAGACCAAGGATCGAGGCATCTCACCATTCCTTATGTGAAGGCGCAATTACAAAATCATAGTGAAGCACAAGTGACATGGGAGCTGGAGGAAGATATGAAACAAAAGTATCTGCACTTACTCGGAAGTATTTGAGGACAAAATTTTTATTTATGGGGGTTAGATTTCAATATTGTAAAAAAGAGGAATTTCGAAAAAATAAAACAAAGGAATGAAGCATTTGCATTTGTTTTGAGAAGGCAAGAAGAGATTCAGAGAGAGAGAGAATCTTGTAGAGTGTCACAGAGGCTAAGGAGATGGCTAAGATGACCGGGTATACCGAAAAGGTTCTAGCGATCTAGAGTTTCATAAGTACTCAAGAAAATTCCACGGTCTTCGGTTAGATTGCAATATTCCTAGAGTTCCATTAGAGGGACTTGTGTATACGATAGGGATCCTACCTCCCTAAAGCAATAGAGCATTCTCTTCCAAAACACTCCTCTCTCTAGAATTTTTCTCTATGATCTTGGGTGGGCCAATCGAGTGAGTGAGTGATGGAAGGCTGGGCTTAGGCAACTCTAATAAGCGGTGAATGAGTCTAAGGAAGTTTAAGTGCTACATGGTCGCGATCTCAAGTATCGGCCATGACAAATGATACTAGAGTAAGTTATAGATGGTGTGGGTGAGAGAGTTGGTGGAGCATACCAAGTGGTCATGACGAGAATGTTAAAATTGGTTGTTACTGCTATTGCTGTTGTTGGAGACAAGGCTCAAGAGGAGTTCCATGCCAAGAGGTAGATATCTTGTCCTCTTTCGAGGATAATCTCACTAAGGTGCTGTTGGTCGTGGGTGAATTGAAGGTTAGGTTCAAGGATTTGAAGGAGCTGATCGACAGGGTTGGGGAGATGCTTCGCGATCAGTTCTTAACCTCTTTGCATCATCTTGCCGGCTAATTGCACTAAAGGAATGAGGCTCACGAGTCCACGATAAATGACCTTGGAGTGGAGCTGGAAATGCTCAAAGAGGAACTCGGGGCTTGCAAGATGGCCATAATGCCGAGTCCAAATGTGGACGTTCCAAAGCCAAAGGAGTTCAAGGGTGATAAGTCTACCAAGGAGGTGGATAACTTCATATGAGCCATAGAACACTTCAATACCGTGGGAATTAAAGTTGAGACACATGTACGAACTGCTGCCATCTACTTAACTAATGTTGTCATACTTTGGTGGCGACGTTGGTGTGACGTTGAGAGACGAAGTGCCAAGCTGATCAAGTATTGGGCCGCGTTCATCACCATCTTTGAGGAACAGTTCTTCTCGGAGTTTGCTAAGGATGAAGTGCGGATTGAGATACCCCATCTCATGCAAAAGGGTGATGTTCGGGAGTATGTGTAGGACTTTACTGGGCTCTTGTATGAGATTCCGGATATAACCAAGTTTTAAGGCTCTATTCACATTCATGGACGGGCTCAAGCCTTGGACGAGGTTGGCGTTGCCACAGCGAGGAGTGCGAGAGCTATCCCGAGGCTCCAGCCGCGGCACAGTCTTTGATTGATCTCCATTATTAGCCCGACTCTTCTAGGTTGAAGGGAAAAGACGGGGAAGCGGATTATGGGACTACTGCCAACTATTCTAAAAATTTATGCTTAGTCTGGTCGGGAAAAGTACCAAAAAAGTCCTAAACCTATTGCATTTGTATCAATTCAGTCATAAACTTTTTAATTGGACAAATTTAGTCTTTAACCATTTCGCATTGGTACCAATTTAGTCCATCCGGCCAATTTAGGTTGGAAATTACTGATGTGGATGCCGGAGGTCCTGTGTGGCACCGCCGGCGCTGACGTGAACAATTTTTAATAATATTTTAATATTTTATTGAATTTCTAAACATTTTTTTTTCTTCCTTCTCCCCCTTGCTCTGTGGCCTGCCCTCACCCTCGCCGGCCCTCGCCTGTGGCCAGTCCATGGCTGGCGACCCCCTCACCTAGGCCGCAAGGGTCGAGCTAGCGAGGGCAACCCTCGCTCAGGCTGCGAGGGTCCAACCCTTGCTAGATCCGACGAGGGCCGCTCTTGCCCAGGTTGCGAGGGTCCAGCCCTCGCCTTGCGACGAGGACAACCCTAGCCTGTGGCCGGCGAGGGCCGCCCCGCCCTCATCGGCCCTCGTCGGCCCTTGCCTATGGTCGGTCCATGGCCAGCGATCGGCCACAGAGCCGGGGGGAGAATGAAGAAAAAAAAGGGAAAAAAAGAAAAAAATACTAAAATATTATTAAAAATTGTCCATGTCGGTGCCGGCAATGCCATGTAGGACCGCCAGTGTCCACGTTAGCGATTTTCGGCCTAAATTTGCCGGATGGATTGAATTGGTACCAATGCGAAAAAGTTTAGGACTAAATTGATCTAATTGAAAAGTTTATGACTGGATTGGTACCAATGCAACAGGTTTATGACTTTTTTTGTACTTTTCCCTAGTCTGGTCTTTTTTGACTAGCACTAAGCATTGACATATTTAATTGGGGAGCAATTGGGGTCTGGAAAGATTTGAACTCAGGACCTCCAGCTATGATATTATGTGAGATTTTTATGGAACCACTGCCAACTGTTCTAAAATCTTAAGCTGTTAGATAAAGACACGATTTAATTTTTAATTATTCTAACATTGAAAATAGGGAAAAATAAAAATGGCTAGAGAGAGAGAGAGAGAGAGAGAGAGAGAGAGAGAGAGAGAGAGAGAGAGAGAGAGAGAGAGAGAGAGGATTTGAGGATTAGTGTTTGCTTTTTTTTTTTTTTTTTTTTTTCTGGTTTTAGTTTGAAAGAAGAAAGGTTATTTTTTCAATTGGGTTCGGAAAAAGAATAGTTATTTTTCATTATCGAAACCAAAACCAAATCGAACCGAAATATATAAAATTTTCGGTGCAGTTCGTATCTCGATTTGATTTTTCAGTTCGATTCTGATACCCTAGCTAGAAGCATATTTCTTGCAACCAAATGTTAAATTTAGTCCCGAGAGATAACCTTCTTGGGACCATTTATAATTTGGTCACAAGAAATTCATCTCTAGAGGCTAGACTTAGCATATTTCTTGCAACTCGGATCAACGGGTCCTAAAGGTGGGTAGATTTTTGCCTATCTCGCAATTTACCCCTAGATTTCCATTTCAAAATTTTTGAACTTAAAACCTACCTTATAGATTCTTGGATCTAATTTGGAACCTGGAACTTATGTTTCCCTAAACTTTCTTAAAAAAATTTGAATAAAATTTGAAACAATTTGAATAATGCTACACTCGACATTTTCTACAAAAGGAAACACATTTGACATTCAACACAAAAACACCAAGGAATTACATCCAAACTATGTAGGTTCTTATCTACTTTTTGTTTTGTTATCACTTAATCCACAAAAAAGTACATATAGATATACAAGATTTCAACATAAAAAAAACATTTTTATAATATTCGAAAAAAATTGATATATAAATGGTGTTTCCTAAACCATTTGAAAAGAAAAGCTAACAATAATTTTCCGTTAAATATCCTCTTGTAAGATTTCTTTAGATGACGTAATTTTTCATTGTAATAATTTTTCCGTATCCTCTATTATTCTAGTATTTCACAACAAATAAAAGTCTACCTTGGTCAATAGTAATTTCCTTCTCTTATAGTTAGGGTCTATTTAGTAACGTTTCTGTTCCTAAAAACAATTTCCGTTCAGAAATAGTTTTTTCTATTTCTATTCCTTAGATGAGTTTCCGAGCAAAAAAACGCATTTAATAATTGTACAAAATTTCTATTTCCGGAGTAGAAAAAGAACAAAAATGTATTTGGTAGGACATTAAAAATTTCTACTCCCAATTTTTTCATTTAATTATGAAATTGTAGGTGGAGACTTAACAATTCATGTTTGGATAAAATTGGACTATAAATAGAATAATAATATATTATGATATAGAATTGGATGACCTTAATACAATCATAAAGAAAATTACTCCTTATAGACAAAGCAAATACCGGGTGGTGGTCGAGAAAATTGCAGTTTAGGAGACTTAACAATTCATGTTTGGATAAAATTGTACTAGAAATAGAATAATAATATATTATGATATAGAATTGGATGACCTTAATACAATCATAAATAAAATTACTCATTATAGACAAATCAAATATCGGGTGGTCGTCGAGGAAATTGCAGTTTAGGTGTGGGATGTTAGGATTTGGGATTAGGGGTTAAGGTTTTAGGATTTCGGTTTTGAGGTTTACGATTTGGGGTTTTGGGTTTTAGATTTTGGATTTTACGGTTTATGGTTTGGGGTTTAGTTTTAGAGTTTCGGGTTTGGGGTTTTAGGTTTAGCGTTTTGGGTTTGGGTTTAGGATTTAGTGGTTTAGGGTTTATGGTTTAGAGATTCGGATTTTGGGTATTCGGGTTTGGGATTTAGGGTATAGGGTTTACAGTTTAGGGTTTATAGTTTAGGGTATTGCGGTTTAACGTTTTAGGATTTAGGGTTTAGAATTACGATTTTAGGGTTTGGGTTTTTGGGTAGGATTTGGGGTTAAGAGGGTTTAGGGTTTGGGTTTTGGGGTTTCGGATTTTAGAGTTTAGGATTTTGGGTTTTTCATTTTAGTGTTATGGGTTTTAGGGTTTGGGTATTGAGGTTTAAGTTTTGGGATTTAGGGTTAAGGTTTAGGATTTTAGGGTGTAGGGTTTGAGGGTTAAGGTTTAGGGTTTATGATTTGGAGTTTTAGAATTTAGTATGAGAATATCTTGTCAAAGAGGGAGAGCCGATCTTATTTCTCTATTGTTTCTTTTTTTGTTCTAGAAATAGGAAAGTATATTTTTTTAACTTCTTATTTCTGTTCCAAATTTATTCCCATACCACTTTTTTGTTCTCGAGAACAAAAAAACTAACTGACGTTATTAAATGGATTTCTGTTTAGTTTTTGTTCCGAGAAGCAACAGAATAGAAAAACAGAGAAACATAAATGTTACTAAACAGGCCCTTAGTGTACTAACTAACCGGTCACGACTTTCCTTTGGCGTTCATGACTATGCTTACTAATAAAATTTAGGGTTAATACCACGAAATACTTCAAATTGTGATAAATTT